CCTGCTGTCTGCTCTGACCCCTGCCCCTGCTCCCCTCCTCCTCCTGCCTCGGGGCTCAGTCTCCAGGACTGTCCCCCATCACACTCACTCCGGGTCACATCACCTTGTCTCATGGCTGCAGGTATCACTTACATGCTGACAACTGCTATGTCCCAGCAGATGTCTCCTCAGCTCCCCACTCTGACACCTCGGTACTTCACACTTTCCCCTTCTCCAACTTAACACGCCCAAAGCTCAATAGGCTCAAAACGTCTCCCGCCATCACTGCCCACACACCTGCCTCCCCCACGTCTGTCTCATCTCAGGGAACGCAACTCCTTGTTCTAGAAGCTCAGGCCCCAAACCCGAGATGTCAGTCACCTTTGACATCTTTCCCCCACGTCCCACTGAGGATCTTGTTTTTCATAAGAAGCTGGTTGAGTTGCATGTGAAATTCTACGTAAGAGAGACAATGTACCTGTGAGGCCGTCCGTCTGCAGCCCACCTGTCTGAGCTCAGAGGAAGGGTGTCTCCCCCTCAGTCCTGTGACCCTCTCCTATTGATGGCGTTTCCCAGCCAGACTTCTGCCGTGCACGCTCCCTGCACCCTTCCGCCCACTGTCAGAGCGCCCTCTAGAGGCGGGCTGGCCTGACGCAGAAGGCTGTCCCTCGGTGATGAGGACCGAGGTAAGAGAGCAGAGCAGGCAGCAGGACCATGTGAGGGCAGAGCACCTGACGGTGATAAACATTCACAGATGAAGTCAGACGACCCGACGCCATCTGAGAAATGGACCATGTGGGCCCCACGAGTATCACTGACGCCCAGAAAGGACCGAGACATCCACACATTCTCCTCTCGACCCTCCCTCACCCCTCGAACCTGGACAGCCCGTGCCACGCACCGCACGGCCCTGCACACCCCACGATGGCCAGGGTGACGAGACGTGGAGCCCTGTCCTTGTCCGGGGTCTGCCGACTGAACGGACCAGCGAGTGGGCCGCCTCGGCTGAAAAGAGAAGAAGGATCCGAGCGGCAAGGCCTCGGGGTCCGGGGCGCGGAGGTGTGAGGCCAGGGCTTCGACGACAGTGGTCAGGGGAGGGCTGGAGCCAAGGGCCTTGGGGATCAAACCTTCGAATCAGAAACACACAAGAACGAGAGAACCGAGGACAATGACGGTTCAATTCATGTTCGGAAAATACTGATTTTAAAGAGGTTTGATGCACTCTTAGTGAACAGGCACCTCTCTGCAGAACAAGATGGCGTGAGTGCCCGCAGGCATGGGGACGGTGGACGAGCGGGAAGACATCTTTCAGGTTCCTGGACCTCGCTCCTGAGACTTGGCCTCATCACAGCTCAACTCAATACAAGGGGAGGAAACAATGTTTACCTGGAAATTATCTGGTACATCAAACTGTGTGGTCAATCGATCTGCCCAGTTAATTTGTGTGGCAGGTCAGAGCCAGGCCAGAGAGCCCCTGACTTTTGCTCTCGGCCCATTTCCCACAGTGCGACACACAGCATTTGGCCAGTGGATACGACACAGTCTACAATGGAACTAAGTGACTCATTTTAAAAAGACTAATGAATTTTTGTCTAGTGCTATGCCCGAGCCAAACCGTATGCTACACGGATACAATAAACAGGCCCTCCGGATGGAGAAAACGTAAAATAAACTAATACTGACCCAACGCCGGCTGTCTCCCAGACGTTATGCTAGGTACTGCGAGAAATACCAGTAGGGAATGCATTCACGAACTTGTTTCTCAATGCACACCCTACAGATTAACTTAGAAATCACTGAACCGGGCCCTTTTGTTCTCAGATTGTGCTGTGTTAGCGAGGATCTTCGGTTACAGAAATATTATTGTTTTTCAGAAGCTGTGTTTGAGTATTCATTCAAAGTGTTAGAACGACTGTATTTCCTTTATGTTTTGTTCCACCCAAACAGCATGTAGAGAAAAGTATCAGACATGCTACATTTATGGCTCAAGTTCATTTCAGTCTGCTGCACAGCAAGCTACCCTGTAGCAGAACCTTCTCACATCACGGAGGCCACGTTCCCAGAGCCGGGGCTGTAAGGTTCTGGCACCGACCCACCCCGTGGAGGTTTCATGCTCACAGCCTTGCTGGTGAGACCCACCCTGCACTCCTTCTCCACGAAGCCCGGGCGGCTCTGGCCCGCTCCGTGGCCTCTCACCCCACCTGCAGCACCCTGCCGTCCTAGGGCGGGCCGGAGGACCATGCGGCTGCTCGGTCCTGGGACTGCCACGGTGTTCGGAGCCCAGCGGGGGGTTTCAACCCGTGCTGAGCTCCCAGAGGCCCACGGGGCTCTTTGTGGAGTAGCTATCATGGCCTGAATGTTCAGGACAGTCTTTTTCAGCTTCAAAGACTGGGTCCACAATTCCACATGAACTTGAAGCAAAAAAGAAATTTACTATCAGCCTGAGTTGTCAGTCCTTAATTGTAAGGAAAAATGTGTCTAGAGATGGATCTCTGTAAAACACACCACACACACACACACACACACACACACACACACACAATCCCCACCAGCAGCCTTTCCTGGCAGAGGGAAGGGAAACGGTTCTCTGGTCTGGGCTCAGCGTCCCCACACAGGCAGCAGGGGCTGGGAAGGCGCTGCCCCGAGCAGTCTGACCCAGAAACCAGAGCCGCCGCCCGCCCTCCGGGCTGAGCTACGGGCTCAGGCCAGGGGCCAGCTGATGTCGGGCTCACAGTCGCTCCCAAAGTCCCCAGGGCGTCAGATACACTATGATTATGCCAGTGAACCAGGGAGATTTCCAAAATTAGCACTCACTGGTTGAGCCAGGAAGTTGGAGCCATCCTTACCATTTTGGTAATTTAGATCTCAAACTGTTTTTCTGAGAAATTCATTTAGGGGACATTAAAAAACTGGGTTCCTGAGAGAGGGGCCATGGTTCTAGCCAACAGGTCTACCTTCCCCCTGAACACATGACCCCGCTTCACCTGCTTCTTGTTTTTCTTTCCCAAACACAAGGAGCGCGAGCGGGTCTGTGCCAGCCAGGCTGCGGCCACAAGGCCGTGTGTTCAGTGTAGACAGCGCGGTGACGATCAGATGTGTGTCACATGAACCACAGGGAAAGGGTTGCTGGGCACGGGGCCACGTGGCGTGGAGAGCATGCATCTTTACACGCTGGGATGACCCTGTCTGAGAAGCAAGACCAACTGGGTGGGTGTCAGGGTGTCGCGTCCCCTGCATTCACCGCAGATGCGCGCTCTGCAGACCCAGGGGGCGGTGGGCATGCTCACACTGCTGAGGAGAGACTCCTCCTGCGCACGCCCACCTTTTTGATGGCTGAGCTGAACCCAGTCAGAAGCCCTGCCCACTATGGACGAATTCGGCTCGAGTCTGCAGGAGCGCCTCAGCCGGCAGGGTGTGAGCGGCAAGGTTTCTAAAACCAGGCCGACATTCTCAAGCAAGCCAGGTTTGTACTTATAAGGCCGAGGTCTGAGAGGCAGGTACTGCTCCTCCTTTTCCACCTTGACAGGGAGCCCTGCTCTGTTCGCTGTCCTCGGCCGACAGCTGGTGCTCGAGTCTCCTGTGTGTGTGAGGAAGGGAAGAGAGTGGAGACGGTCACATGTTGGAGACGTGCGCCGAGATCAGCTGGAGAGGAAAACACGGGACACTTGTACCCCTCATCTGGGGGATGGGACCGAGTCTGCCCACACAGAACAGAAAAGGAAACGTTTCTGCCACAAAAATCTGGACATGCTCATTATTCGGTGAGACGTACAGAGAGGACTCCGGACGCTGAACTGGGAGAGTGACCGGCACTGTCTGCTGGCTCGGCATGCCCACGCCGGACAGGGCGCAAGCCCGGCGCAGTGGGGAGCTCCGGGCTCATGGCTGGACCTCGGGGTCCACCTGGCAGCCTGGCACCTGCTCAGGAAACGGAATCATCTCCCTGGTTTCAGCCCAGTGAGTCAGAGGCTGAAGGACAGGGCCCGGGCACTCACGGTGGGACAATTGTCACCACCTGGCTGTATCAGGTGCCAAATCAGAACAGCTCCAGGGACAGTGCCCAGCAAGCATGCTGCCAAAAACCACGGCCGCCCACTGCGCACTTGACGTGAGCGAACTCACTTCATCCCCACGACAACCCCGAGAGCTGTTCTCCTCCTCCTCGCTTTGCACCTGGGGAACGGAGGCACGGGGCGGGGCCGTACCGCCGGTGAGCGCAGAGCAAGGCCACACACCCACCTTTCTGGCCTCAGAGATGACTCTTGTGCTACCACCCCTCAAGCAGAAGGGACCGGTCACCTCATGGTTACCTAACGCCAGGGCAGGCCAGGCCCTGCCCATCCACCTCCCGTGACCGCCTCAAGGCCACCTCTGTGGGACACCGGGATGGAGAAGTCCACCTTCCACTGAGCTGCAAGTTCGGCAACTAGTGACTGCCCGGGAAGAGGCTACTGCGGGGCGTCAAGGGAGGGAGCCAGGCCACCGCCCCCTCTAGGTGCGGACACCACACCGCGGTGGGCATCGCACTGACCCCCGCTACCACCTGGAGGGAGCTGCTGGCGCCCCCGCTCACCGGTGAGGGAGCTGTTGGCACCCCCCACTCACAGGGGAGGGAGCTGTTGGCACCCCCGCTCATGGGTGGAGGAGCTGCTGGCGCCCCCGCTCACGGGTGGGGGAGCTGCTGGCGCCCCGGCTCACGGGTGGGGGAGCTGCAACTCTGACGCTGGCCCGTGGACGAGCTGGGGCGGCGCCCAGGGTGCTCCTGACCACGACGTAGAGTCCCCAGGGGGTGGGCACCACAGGAGCCAAGGGGAGCCTTCCCCGGAAGGAGCCAGATGCCCTTCAGGTCCCTCCACGCACACGGGACGGACAGCACCGAGGCCCCTGCCCTCGCAGCCTGCTCCTTGCACGAGGACTTCCTGCAAAGCTCCCCGCCGATTACTGCCCACAGACAAACCCCCCACCTTCAACTCACCCCCGGCCCGCACCCCCTCAACAACAGTGAACCGGTTTCCACTTACGCTTTAAACGCGGGGAGGTAGGAGTATATAGAAATGCTGCTCAGGTTATAAATAAATGGCAGGTGTTTTCTGATATCTGTCGTTGCCCAGCTGCTGAAAAACATGTTCAGTAAACCCTGGTCCCCACCTGAAAGAAAAAAACAAATGAAGAGTCACAGACTTGAAGGCCAGTTCAGTAATTTTATAAGAATAGACACCTAGACCTTTAAACAGAGATACTAGTTCCATTTTTAGAGGAAGACAGTCCACGTTAACCCTGAAGGACAGTCTATGGGTAGCCAGTGCCCGCGCTACTTCACTGACTCCACGAACATTCGCTGAGCCGTTACCACGCGCCCGCTGCTCCGGCACTGGACTGCCGAGGTGACAGAGACACGGCCACCGTCTCCACCAGGGCCTGGGAGGGGCGGGGGCGCGGCACCAGCAAACCAAGAATCCACAAGCCCCCAGAAATGGAGGGAGGGCAGCAAAGGAAACGCAGGGACCAGGCGTGCACGGGGCAGGGAAGGCTTCCATGGGGAAGCCGCCTTAGCCAGGCTCCGAGGGCACAGGAGCACTCGGATGAGGGGGACAGGGAGGGCACAGGAGCACTCGGATGAGGGGGACAGGGAGGGCACAGGAGCACTCGGATGAGGGGGACAGGGAGGGCACAGGAGCACTCGGATGAGGGGGACAGGGAGGGCACAGGGGCACTCGGATGAGGGGACAGGGAGGACACAGGGGCACTCGGATGAGGGGACAGGGAGGGCACAGGGGCACTCGGATGAGGGGACAGGGAGGACACAGGGGCACTCGGATGAGGGGACAGGGAGGACACAGGGGCACTCGGATGAGGGGACAGGGAGGACACAGGGGCACTCGGATGAGGGGACAGGGAGGACACAGGGGCACTCGGATGAGGGGACAGGGAGGACACAGGAGCACTCGGATGAGGGGACAGGGAGGACACAGGGGCACTCGGATGAGGGGACAGGGAAGGCACAGGAGCACCAGGATGAGGGGACAGGGAGGGCACAGGAGCACCAGGATGAGGGGACAGGGAGGACACAGGAGCACTCGGATGAGGGGACAGGGAGGACACAGGGGCACTCGGATGAGGGGACAGGGAGGACACAGGGGCACTCGGATGAGGGGACAGGGAAGGCACAGGAGCACTCGGATGAGGGGGACAGGGAAGGCACAGGAGCACCAGGATGAGGGGACAGGGAGGACACAGGAGCACTCGGATGAGGGGACAGGGAGGACACAGGGGCACTCGGATGAGGGGACAGGGAAGGCACAGGAGCACTCGGATGAGGGGACAGGGAAGGCACAGGAGCACTCGGATGAGGGGACAGGGAGGACACAGGAGCACTCGGATGAGGGGACAGGGAGGGCAGTGTTCTAGGCAGAACGAACAGCACACGCCACAGGCCTGCGGGGGGCGGGAACATGACTACGGAAAGACCCGGAGAATGACCTGCGGAGGGGACCGCAGATGGGGGGGGGGGGCGGTGAGTCCTGGAGAGGTAGGCATGGACTGGACCACACTGGGCCTGAATTTTCGCAAAGATTTGGACTTTTTAAGAACGATGAGATTAAAAAAAAAAAAGTAAAAAGCAAGAGTGCAAACTGGAATGATGGGCTTATGTTCTGGAGCCCCCAACTGTTGGCTCCCCATCAGAAGGCCCTGAGGACACCCCTGGTGCCCTCTCCAGGAGGTCGGGGTCAGCACAGTGCGGCTCAGCCTGTGGGTCCCTGGGCTTCACGTCTTCCTTGGAAAGTGACGACTGTGGTGTTCGTTCGAAAGAAATAAAAAATAAATAACAATCTACACACCTAAATCATACGCACACAAGTAGTCAGAAAGGTCACTAGTCACCTCAAAACACATCCTGCCACAGAGCCCGTGTGCCGTCTGCCCTAGGCGCACGAGATTTCAGGAGGTGAGCGCGACAGGCTGCCCTGCGGCGCAGCAGCTGGACTCTGGGGGCAGGGACCTGTGCGGGGGAGGCGGGCAGAGAGAGTCCCGCTCCCCCGAAGCTCGAGGCTGGTGTGTCCAACAGTCACTCTCCACTCTCCTCCTCACGATGCTCTGCCCTGAGGCCGTTCCTTTCTAAACATACAACACGTCTAACTGGCTGTTCATTACTATTTAGTTTTTCTTGGTTTTGAAATAAACTTTAAAAATGTGGAGATTTATTTAACATTTGGAGCTAAGTGGTAAGATCAGGGCATAAAGTCCGTGTCCCTTATCCATCCCCTGTGTCTCCCATCCTTTCCAAACACCCTCAATCAACTCTATGGATCAGGGGCACCTGCTGCGCCAGCATCTGCGGAGCAACCTCTCTGCATACGGAGGCTCTGACCGGCCCCGTTTCTGAAGAGATGGACAGACAGCTCATCAGAAATTGGAGTCTGACCCTTGTAAGTCCTAGGACACTAACAATGGCACCAGGACATGCTCACTTGTTACATGAACAAAAGGAGACTTCAGCTGTATAGACAAATGAACACAATCACGAACTAGTAGTCATTAGAGTCTGAATTCCACGAGGACAGAGTTTTGCTTAGCCCTGTCCATTCTAGCCTGTAATAGAATGTTTTACACACAGCATGCTATTTATGGAACGAATGTTTTAAGAACCTTAAAGATGTTCCGTTAGAGCAGAAACGCCGAAATAACTTAACTATTGCACCACAGAGGGAAGATTGGCACACTGTTACAATAACCATTCAGGGCAATATCCTTCAGCCCTGAAAACAAAGGCTACAAAGATCATCATTGTGTAATATGAAGATACATAGCGTGACTGCAACTAAGAACATAAACATTCATATTGGAAGAAAAATAAAAGTAACTACTATGTAAGAGGAATGGTATTATAGATGTTCCCTCCCCCTGTCTTTTCCTTAATATTGTTATATGTTTGTAATTTTAAAATAACAACATATTAAGGGGCAAGAATGATCATTGTGTTAAGATATTTTCTTTCTAAACACTGTTAATTTATTTTTGTTACAAAGTATGATATTATCAAAGGACACATGTATGTTTAGGTTACAAAGCATATTAATAACAAAACTCTGTACACCCAACATCAATGTAACTGAAACACTGCACAGGTGTTTTAAGCTCTGTGTGTGGACTCTTCAACCCTTTCTCACTGTCCCCTACCCAGGAATAACCACTAGCCAGGAATTTCATGTGTCATTGTCTCGATTTCCTTTATTTTACCACATACGTATGTAACCCCACAACATACGTAATTTTTCTGTTTTGTGAACTTTGTAAAATTGGGTATCGTATTTTTCCTATTTCTTGCTTTCTTCTGCCAACTGTAAGACTTTGTTAAGCAATTTTGTTTAAACTGTTTTCCCCATGTGACGCAGCGAAGAAACGCATCTAACGCCGGGAGGTCAGAACAGCAGCCGCAGAAGAGGATGTCCTGGTCCCGGGGGGAGACGGGGACGGGGGTGGGGGGTGGGGGGGCGGTGAGAAACAGGAGTCGGACCTGCGGACCCCGCAGAGCCCGGCCGGCTGCCTCTGGACCCCAAAGGCGGCTTCCATTCACCCCCAGGGACCGTACGAACAGCCGTGTGCCTCGGAGGCTGAGAAGCACAGGGGACCCGGCACAAGCAAGAGGAGGGAGGACAGGGCAGGAGGCTGGGGACTCTGGGTGCCCATTCAATCTGCAAACCTGCAGCTCTCAACAGAGACCTTCCCTCCAGGACACTCCAGATAATGAAACTTCCAAGGCCACTGACCTTTCTGTGACAAAGGGTCATCTTTTAGCCAAAAATTGTGAATTATAAATAGAATTAAGCACCACCCAGAAGTCTGTGGCTTCTGCAGTAACTTAGGTTGAGCACTCTGACCGTCTTCTCCCAAGGGCTCACCCCGTCAGGCAGGTGTCCGGCCACCCACACCCTCTCCTCCGCAGCCCCGCAGGCAGCGCGCCGCACACGCGGGCCGTGGGGCTGCCGAGTCTCCGACACGGACACCCGCTCCGGCCAAACTCGAGGCAGCCGTGTCTGCTGACAGGTCCGGGCACCAGCATGGCCAGCGGGCACGCCGCAGCTGGTCCCGCGAGCCAGGGCTGGAGACACGGGCGGGAGCGGGGCCCTGGCGTCCATCACGCACACAAACAGCAGGTCTGTGTCATCCCGCCACCAGGCGCCACGTGCCGGGGAGAACCCACCACCACTCGGTGTTCTCCGGGTCTTCTGACCAGGCCGGGAACCTGGTGGCCACGCACATATCGCAGCGTCAGAAAGGGGCCTATTATCTTGTAAGACAGAAATGGCACCGAGTGCCCTTTTAAATGTGTGCACTTGCTTAATCTTGTGTAGCTTGTGTGCGCTTCCCAAGTGTGTGGCAGCTGGCCTGCCTACTGTGGATGGCGGGAAGGGGGGCCCGTTCTGGTTGAACTGTGAACCCCCGTGTTTCGGCCACAGGACTGACCCCCTAGCATCGTGCTGCTCCGAGTGGTGCAGGTTCCAGCAGCGCGGGCACGGCCTCAGGGGAGCGGGCAGGGCCTGTGGGGGGGGGGAGCGGGAGCTGGCACGGCCTGGGGGGGCGGGCGGGCACGGCCTCAGGAGAGCGGGCAGGGCCTGGGGGGGGGGAATGGGAGGGAGCACGGCCTGGGGGGGGCGGGCACGGCCTGGAGGGGGGCGGGCACGGCCTCAGGGGAGCGGGCAGGGCCTGGGGGGGGGAATGGGAGGGAGCACGGCCTGGGGGGGGCGGGCATGGCCGGGGGGGGGGGCGGGCACGGCCTCAGGGGAGCGGGCACGGCCTGGGGGGGGAGCCGCAGAACCATAAGCCCCACCCAGACCTGCGGAGTCAGAATCCGCAGCGAGATCCCAGGCGGTCTGCTTGCATGTGACCAGCAATGGCCGGTGGTCTTTTAGAGAATGACTCCTTTTTTATTTTATTGTGACAGGGAATGGAACTCTCAGAAATGTCATTTCTATAGAAAATGTCTGAATTATATAAATTAGGTATAGACAGTATATCTAAGGTGATGAGTAAGATACAGTCCAGCTCTCAAATCGTTCTCAATTTAATAAGGGGGCAGAGGGGCAGATATCCAGCAAATTATGTAAAGTAGAGTACGTTTAATACTATACCAGACACAAGTTCTGAGC